TCTGGGCTTCCCTGGGGAGCTTTAAAAAAATACTGATGCCTAGGTCCTGCCTGAGTGACTCTGATGTAACTGGTGAGGGTGCAGCCTGGGCATCTGGATTTTTTAAAAGTCCAAGGGGATTCTAGTCAGCAGCCTTGGCCACTCACACTGCGTTGCCAATGACCTAGTTAATGCTTTTTAAAATAACCTGTCATTGCAGAGAACAGAGCACTAGCTTTACACTAATCTCTGAAGGGATCTTATTGGTTCATGGCCAAATCTTCAGGGAGTTTAGACTGCTTTTGCCCATCCTGACTAGAATGGAAGCAAGCTTTTTAAGGTCAATCCAATCAGAGCATGTGCAGCTCTGGAGATGGGGTGGGGTGGGGTGGGGAGTTGGGAGTTGGAGGCCGGTAAGAATCATCCCGGGAGATATCCAGCCTATATCTGCCAGCTCTACCCTAGCCCCAACCTGGGATTCTACGTCACTACAAAGCCCTACCTGAGCCAACCCCTCCTAGTCCTCCTACCGGAGACTGAAAGCCATATGGATTTCAGACCTTAGGCTTCTGGATCAAAGTTCCTGCATTTGAACTTTAATTCTGCTGCTTATTAGGTTTGTAACTTGTACAAGTTACCTACACTATCTGGGCCTTGATTTTCCCATCTGTAAAATGGGAATACGTATAGTACCTTTCTCCCAGACTTGTGTGAAGGTTGGCCTAGTTCCCAGCACTGTGTGACAGTACTAAGTGTCAGCTTTGTTATTAATCCCTCACCACATATCTTTCCCATCCTCTGTGCTCCAATCCCACTGAACTCCTTCTAGTTTCTCTTTTTTTTTTTTTTTTTTTTTTTTTTTTTTTTTTTTTTTTGAGATTGAGTCTTGCTCTGTCGCCCAGGCTAGAGTGCAGTGGTGTGATCTTGGCTCACTGCAAGCTCCACCTCTCAGGTTCCGCCATTCTCCTGCCTCAGCCTCCTGAGCAGCTAGAACTACAGGTGCCTGCCAACACGCCTGGCTAATTTTTTTTTTTTTTTGTATTTTTAGTAGAGATGGGGTTTCACCGTATTAACCAGGATAATCTTGATCTCCTGACCTCATGATCCACCCGTCTCAGCCTCCCAAAGTGATGAGCCACTGCACCTGGCCTCCTTCTAGTTTCTTAAGCCCACCATGCTCCTGCTCACCCAGCACCCTGGCATATGCTAGTGTTTCCTGCACGGATTTATTTCCCTCTCCTTTAGGCTTACTTAATGCCTCCCAACTTTCCTCAGATCAGCCCAACTATCAGTTCCCTTGGAAACTCTCTTGTCTCTAATCCTTCTCAACCCATGCTCGTTAGCACTTAGTGTGGTCCATGTTTATTCATTCAATATACATTGTTTGAGCGCCTACTATATCCCATGCATTGTTTTCTGCTCTGGGAATTTTGTTCTCTGCAGAGAACAATCAAATACTTTACGAAAAGAAAAATCTGTATTTTTATGAAGCTTACATTCAGGGATAGATGGTCTATAAACAGAGAAGTATGCTAGAGAGAAAAAAAGAGCAGGAATGTTGACAGAGTGAGTGGCCAGAAGGCCATGAGTGAAGAGGGATGACTGTGAAAAGGCCTAGAGGAAGCTGGGCCGACACCTTGCAGGGACAAGCATTCCAAGCAGAGGGAACAGCAAGTGCAAAGGCAAAATTGCAACATCACATTTTGTGTAATCATTGGATTAATCTCTAATGCATCAACACAGATCACAAACTCTGTGGCAGAGGGCAGGAATCATACTTTTTTGTTCTTAGCACCCAGCTCCTTGGCATGTAGTTAGGCACTAAATATATGTGGAATGAATCCACTCACTGGGCGTTCTGGAATTTCTGGAGAATGTGTGTTGGGGATGGGGCAGGGAGTGGTTTGTATTCACCCAAGAATCTTTCATCAGTTTCAATACCTGTCACCTGTTGAAAATAACTGTGTCAGGAGAAAAATCTCTTGAAATGGAATGCTACTCTTTTCTTTTTCACATTTCCTTTAAATGATCTCCCTTCTACCCAGCCAGAGGGATCCATCACACTGGAGAGGATTAGGATTGTGTGGCAGGAATGCAGAGAGGAAGAAAGAGCTGATGTTCAGATTTCAACTCCTGAAATGGGCACTTGAAGCCCATTTCCGAGAACTCAATAGGCATGAAAGGCAGTGCTTCTGATATACAAAACTGGTGTTTGAGAAAGGAAAACATTTAATAGCTTTATAGAATTGGGTTTTTTTCTTTCTCCAAATCAAACGGTAAGGCTGTGAAAGAGGAGAACACACATTTATCTACAAGAAACAGATTCAAAAGCAAGTAGATGCGGTAGGGAACCCAGACCAGCTGGGAGGCAGAAGGGTTGGAGGGGCTGGAGGGGTTGGAGAAGGGGGAACTGCAGGGCCCTAGAAGGTCACTCTGAAGCAAGGCTTTAAGCAGTGAGCAGTGGCCTAGACCATTTTATCAGTCAGCATCCCCACCAACTGCTCAACCAAAGAGACTTCAGTGGGGGGACTATTGACAAAGGTGTGGGCAGGAGAAAGGAACCAGCAAGGGAGGTTGAGGCACTCAGACACCAGTAACCATGGGAAGCCCTTATGTTCCTCAGCCTGAAGGGACAAGGGGAGCGGGGCTGTGATTCTGATCCCAGGAAGAGCTGGCAGCACTACTGCCTGAGCCCTGGTTCTGAGGCAGAGAGGGAATGGGGAAGGATTAACCCCACCTACCTCTTCTCCCCCGCCTTAGAACTCCCGAGGGCTCCTCCCCAAAGCCAAGGCACCTAATGTATGGCAGGTCATTTGGGATGCCCCACACCATGCCCCCTGGGTCTGTTTCTCATAAAGCTCAGATTCTCGAGATAGCATCCCAGCTCAAGTGCACCCACTTTCTGCTCAGGATCGTCCTTGAAGACAGGGAGCCCTCTCAGCCAGTGCACATGTGAAGCCCAGAAATGCAGGGCAGTGAAAGCCCTCACAGGCATCTCTGGTTCTTTGGGGCCTGGGAGCTGATGGACAGATACTGCCCAGTGAATGGCTCCAGGCATCTTGTACTCATCTCAGAGGTCCTAGCAGAATCTTTGTCTCAGACAACATACCCTTAAATTGACTGTCCCTGCTTTCCTGTCCTCTTTCCCTGCTCCCTCGCTCCGAGTCCTGGGACCAGCTCTGCCACAGGTTGGGTTCTCTGCAAGAAGACTCTGAGATGGAAGATGGGGTGCAAGGTTTTTATCAGGGAATCAATACCTGTAAAAGGAATGGGGAGGAAGTAGATTTGGGCAGAGGAGGAAGCTAAGATGTGATGCAGGGGTGCAGGATCTGCCAAGCCTTTTGCAGCCCCACAGGTTGCTGGGAGCATGTCTTGAGTCTCCCGTGGGCAGAATGGCCAGGCTTCTGTGCCCCCACACAGATGAGGATGTGAACAGCCCAGGAGGGCGTGTCCGTGGCTGTCTCTGTAGTTTAGGCAAATCCTGAAGGAGGGGCAATCAGTTGCAACAGCGGGGCAATCAGTCCCTCCTGGAAGGGGGTCGTGCATGGGGAGCTCCACATTCACCATAAGCTCCCCAAGAAACAGGCTACCCTCACATCCTTATCTGGGGCTCTGCTTTTGGGAGAACCCAAATAAAGACACTGGGTGAGGTATTGCCAGGATCAGCATCCCAGGGCACAGAGAGGATAGAGAAGGGCAGAGAACAGATGTGGGGGTTGAAGGCAGCACATCCATTCAACAAGCACAGCTGACATCCAGTGCTGGAGGCCCAGAGGTGCCCAGTGTGTGCAAGGCTGCCCTCCTGCCTCCTCTCTGAGTGAACACCCTCCCCCTCTTCCAGCACTCGGAGGACCCCGCCCAGGAAAGCCTTCCTGCTTTTACTAGGGAAGAACAGAACCTACTTGATCTCCCTGACAAGTGCCACCTGAGCTAAAGGGGAGTAAACTCTACCCTCATTTAGGGACCATCTCATTTATATATTTTACAACATTAAACAGAAGAAAGCATCACTTAGCGGGTGCCCACCCTGATATTCAGCACCACCCTTTGCATTTGCGATGATTACCTCCTTTAACAGAGGTGGAAAATGTGACTCAGAGAGGTTAAGTAACTTACCCAAAGTCACACAGCCAAAACCCAACAGAGCCAGGATTTAGAGACATTCTGATTGACTTCACATTCCATGTAGATGGCACTATGAGGCACTGTCTCAGGAAGTTTACTGCACACAGATTCTCCCATCCTACTCCCCAAGGCAGAGCAGAAGGCTGGGTTCTGGGCTTTTCTGACTTGGGATGCCGTAATTAGACCTCCAGCCCAAACCAATTTCCAGCGGCTTCTCCCGCGTTCGCAAGCTGTCTTCAATCACGCCACAGCAGCCCCTGCCTTGTTCATCACCTGCTTTCCTTCTCGTGCCTCCTCTAATTTTGCTCCATATCCCTTATGATAAGCCATTGCATACAGAGTGATTTACAGCCTCCACTCTCATCTGCCTAGGGTTTAAAAAAAAAAAAAAAAACAGAAGAATTAAATTGGATCAAGCGCTCCAAGAACCTGTCTCTGACTTCAGCCTCTCTCGTTTACCCAGTGATGCATCACGCTGTGTTCTAATGGCTTCCTAATGGGCAACTTAATCTGTCATTAAACCCACTCACCAAGCGCCCCTTGCCAGGCTCCTTGGCCATTGGTCTGCTCGCTGAGCCATGGCGTCTGTGGGGTGGCCCCGTCCTCAGATTAGCGGGGGTTCTAAGAGGAAGCGCATCATTTCGTCTGGGGTCCCGGGCTCAAATGTCGACGGGGCCATAGAGGTAAGAAAAGTGAGCAGGGCTGGTGGCTGGGACTCTGCGACCGTCTAAAGGGCCGCCCCTGCTCGGCCCCCCTCATCGCTGACCTATGGGGATCCGGGCCCAGATCTTCCCATTTCTTGACACAAGTCGGAGATGTAGAAGTGTATGTATAATCTTCCCCTTTTAAAAATGTCAGCATCTATTTAAAAACATTTTTTTTTAAACACTGGGCAGGCCAAATAAAACATGGCAGCCGGCAGCTTTGGCCCTCCTCAGAGCGACCCCGAGATACCCCGCTGTGCTGCTCCCGGCCCGGAGATTTCCTACAGCTCTGCTCAGCACGGGTAAGAGAATAATAAATCGGTCGCTTTACTATCCAATTCGCAGCCGTTGCTCCCCGCTGGAGGAAGAAAACAAACAGGAAGACCCTGCCCTGTTTTGTTTAGGGTCAAACTCTCCTCTGTACCACCTACTGGAGGGCCTCTGGAGTTTGAGTTCTGGGGACAAGCGCGTGCCTCTGCTTCCGAATGAGCTCCTTTGACGTGTGGGTCCTGGGCACCTAACCACAGCCACCACAAGCCGCGGGTGCTTCCCCAGCGGGCCCCGGGAAGGAAAGCTCTGGGCAGGGGCAAAGCTGAGTTTTGCAACCAGTGAGCGGGAGCCCGGGGGCGTGGCCAGGCTGAGGGCGTGCGTTGTCCTGGCAACCCGTAACTTCCAGAACCATCCATCCTTTGGGGACTTCCTGTATGGGGCTGAAGGGCTTTCTTTCAGTCTCTCCTCAAGCTCTGTGAACATCACAGCAACATATTCCCTTAAAATCCTGAAAAGGTGCCGCACTTGAGAGGCAGTGTAGAGTGTGAACCCTGGAACCAGACGCGCGGGATTAGGTGACAGGCACTTAACTTCCGCGGGAGCTGGAGCAAGACATTTAACCCCTCCAGCCTCAGTGTTCTTATCTGTCAAGTGGAGATCATAGTTGTGCTGACCCTGAAGGTGAAGATTAAATCAGCTAACATACGTAGCACATCCCCTGTAGTTCCTAGGGCAGGGTAAGTACTATGTAAGTGTCAGGAATGGTAATAATAATTTGGGGGAGAATCCGCTGTCCCTTTAGCTCTGAGAGATAGAGGCTCATCAATCTATGGGATCTCACATTAAGATATAGTTGAGCTGTCTCTGGGATGCCAAACTCCTAGAATTTATCACTTTCTCCCTCTCCATGTATTGTATCCTCTCCCCTCCATCTCCTCTGCTGCAGTTCTACCCCTTTCCAAACCCAACTCTGCCAATACTCCTTCATACCATATACAATTTTCTTCACCCTCCTCTGAACTCACATTATGCTCTATTGACACACACACAAGAACACTTATCACAGTTTGCCTTAGACAGTAGCTATGTGTGGATACGTCTTATCTCCCTGGAGACCGTGACCTCGTCTTATTTTTTATATCCACTGTCACACTGTGTCTTCGACATAATAGGTGTTAAGTCATTATTTGCTAAAGATACGTTAAGTGAATAAATGAATTAGATTCCCTGAAACAACCAGGGAGATTCGCCCGGAGGAAGTATGAAGTTTGGGAGCTTAGAACTCTCAGAATGGACTTGAACTTGGCCAAGGAAATCTCAGGGGCTATCGATAATAAGCAATAATTATAATAAATAATAAAAACACTAGCATTTATTGTGTGTCTGCTGAATGCCAGATGCTGCTCTAAACTATTGACACGGACTATTTTCTGGAATCTTCACACCTGTCTGGTGAGGTTTGTTCTACTTTTGTCATCTCACGATCCCAGCCGAGGATGCTGCGGTTCAGGGGAGTGGAGTAATGTTCCTAAGACACAGCTGGCCAGGGGCAGAGTACGGATTTGAACCAGATAATTTGGTTCCCATGGGAGCAAATATTTGAGCACATACAGTTAATTAGGGAAGTGGCCCCAGGGAGCGCTGGTAGGGGGATGGGGAAGTGAAACGGAAGGAAGGAAGTAGAGTGAGAGTGTGTTCACAAGCAGGTCATCTCTGTGTGCAATGAAGCTCATTCCCACTGGGGACCACGGGAGACTTTGTAGAACAGAACCTGCCTCAGAGCCATCCTCCCAGAGGCTAGGAAGCATGGGCATTTACCCAATTCCCTTCATCTTTGGTTGGGGCTGCTCTTGGGAACAACCCTGGGCACTTCCAGCCCGGCCAGTGCATGGACTGAGCATGCTCCTGTGGCCAGAGACAGCCCCAGACAGAGTGGCAGGTTTCTGCGGTAAGAAGCTGGTGTTGTGTACAGCAATGGTGAATGCCAAAGGCAGGAGACACGGGGCCAACACCATCTTCTATACCAGGGGGCTGGTTCCAGAGGCATTCCTCTTTTCACTGCCCACAGTCCAGCTTTGCTCACCAAAAAGTTCCTTCCTTCCCTTCCTCCCTTCCTCCCTCCCTCCCTCCCTCTCTCCCTCTCTCTCTTTCTCTCTTTCTCTCTTTCTTTCCTTCTTTCACAGAGTTTCACTCTGTCACCCAGGCTGGAGGCAGTAGCCTCCCGGGTTCAAGCAATTCTTGTGCCTCAGCCTCCCCAGTAGCTGGGATTGCAGGTGCCCTGCCACCATGCCCAGCTAATTTGTGTATTTTTAGTAGAGACAAGGTTTTGCCATGTTGTCCAGGCTGGTCTCAACCTTTTGAGCTCAGGCAATCCACCCATCTCGGCCTCACAAAGTGCTAGGATTACAGGCATGAGCCACTGAGCCCGGCCCAGAAAGCCCACACTTTCTGATGTTCTTGTCTGGGCAGCAGATGCCTTCTCTAGGGCATGTTAGCCTATTTTTAGTCTCATGATTGTTTCCATCGCCTTGGCATCCTACTTTGTACTTCTTAACACACACATGTATATCACAAACATAAACCTCTAGGGGGCAAGACCTCCCTTCTGGAGGAAGTAAGCAAAGCCTGGAAGGTTGAAGCACCTTGATGAGGAACACCTGGATGGCTCATGGCAGCACAGTCACCAGGCCTTAGCATCCAGAGAGTCAGACATGAGTTTTGTTTTATTTTTATGTATTTGTTTATTTGGGGGGTAAAAATATTGTCCTGTTGACCAGCCAGATGAATATTAGAAATGAGCTCTTATTGGTGAAATTTTAAAAATTCCCAAGACACATGGATGGGCTTAAAACTTTTGTAGCTGTGCCACATAGACATGCAGGCAGGTAGGCCACTTCCCTAATACTGTTCTTTTTTTTTAGATGGAGTCTTGTTCTGTCACCCAGGCTAGAGTGCAGTGGCATAATCTCTGCTCACTGAACCTCTGCCTCCCGGGTTCAAGCAATTCTCATGCCTCTGCTTTCTGAATAGCTGGGATTACAGGTGCACCACCATGCCCAGCTAATTTTTGTTATTTTTAGTAGAGACGGGGGTTTCACCATGTTGGCCAGGCTAGTCTTGAACTCCTGACCTCAGGTGATCTGACCACCTCGGCCTCCCAAAGTGCTAGGATTAAAGGTGTGAGCCACCATGCCCGGCCCCTAATACTGTTCTGGCACATGGGTCATGGAAGAATAGAGAATAGCCCACCAGGAAACCCCACACCCACTTCATTTCCCCTCCTGACTTTGCAGACAGCCCTCCTGCAGGCAGTGTAGGCCAGAAGTGAAGAACTTGGAGAACAAACAGACCTGGGTCCAAATCCTGGTTGGATCTGCTATGAAGACCTTGGGTGAGTTATGGAATCACTCTGAAGTTTGGGCTTCTCACTAATAAAATGGGTATAAATAACACTATCTATCTGATAGGGTTGTTGTGGGCATTAAATAAAGTACATGCACGTAAGCACCAGGTACTGTGCTCAGATGCAAACTGACCAGAGACAGTTTGGTAGAGGACAACCCCAGGTTCTTTTGCGGTACATGCAGAGCAGCCAGTGAAGAGGTTTGAGGTGCTAAGGGTTTGCCACTCTCTACATGGCACTGTTTCTGAGCTTTAAAGAAAGGGACTCTCTACCACACGCAGGAGAGCTTATCAATTATTACTGTTTTAGCAAGCAGGCACAAAAACTGTTCATATGGCCTATTTTGTTGCAGCCAGCACCTAGCATGAAAAGATTCATTCATGAGAGCATTAAATGATTTTTGTCTAGTGATTTTCTTAGGGTAAAGTCTACAGACTTCTCTGAATTCTTCTATTGTGTTCGTGAAAACATGTGGCATGTCTCTCCAGGATTTAAGCCAATCCATATATTGTGACTGCCTTAATTTCACCAAGGAGAGCCCATTTCTAATATGCATCGAGCTGGTCAACAGGCCAATACTTACACAGAGACATGCACACTCTCATTTCTGACATTCTGGGTGCTGGTTAACAAAGCTTTCATTGTTACTCAAGATGTGGGAAACAAGGGCTTACAGAAATCAGCTCTAGAATAAGCTTTCTGGCCTTTCGTTCTTTTTCTTGAGATGGAGTCTCACTCTGTTGCCCAGGCTGGGGTGCAGTGGCGCAACCTCAGCTCACTGCAACCTCTGCCTCCCGGGTTCAAGTGATTCTCCTGCCTTAGCCTCTCGAGTAGCTGGGACTAAAGGCAGGCACCACCAACCCCAGCCATTTTTTTTTTTTTTTTTTTGTATATTTGTAGAGATGGGGTTTCACCATGTTAGGCAGGCTGGTCTTGAACTCCTGACCTCAAGTGATCTGCCCGCCTCAGCCTCCCAAAGTAGTGGGATTACAGGCATGAGTGTGGCTCAGCTGAACCATTCATTCTTGATTGGGCTGCTCATTATTACCGGGTTATAGATTAAGCAAAATCATAATATCACACTACCTATGCTGAAGGACTTTAAAGGAAAGCAGAAACATCCTAAGCCCAGAAGACAATTGGCATTCAGTAAGTGATAGCTCTTACTGTTGGGGCAGGGCCATCCCATATCACCACCTCTACTCAACCCCGACTCTCTAAACTGGATCTACTTTTATGACGTATGGGCTAAATTGGTGAAAAAGCAAGCAACTGTACGATCTTCACTCAACTAACACTTGCTGAGGCTGAGATAAAGGAGGTTTGTATTTCCTATGCAGCATGATTAGGAAGAAGGAGGAGTGGCGGGTGGAGGCTGTGATGAGCTACCAAAATCATCCTTAAGGAGAGAGAGGTATTTAGGCCCCCAGCTGCTGGGAGAGCTGCCTGCTGACAGCCCTCAGTTGTCAGCACCCGTGGGGATTGCCTTGGTGGAAGAGAGCTGCCTCCTTGCCACTGTCACGCCCCCTTCCATGGCCGGCTGCATCTAATGACTGATTGACAAGAGGGTGTGGAGTCCCGAGCCTCTCAGCCTCAACTTGGATGACTCAGAAAGATATTCCCAGCAAAGAATTCCCTCTCGAGTGGGCTGAGACCTTCCTCATGACTACATTGTAGCTCAGTGTCTCCCTTTGCCCAATTTGACTTCCTTCCCTTCCCTTCTCTAGATGTTGATCCCATGAGAACTCCCTAGTAAACCTCCTGCTCGCTAATCTCCATCTTAGAGTGTGCTTTCTGGGGAAGGTACCCTGCGAAAGGAATGGAAGGGAAAAGTTGAGCTTGTAGGGGAGGAACATGTTTTTCTCCACCCTCATCGGATCCCTGGCTTCATCTGAAAATTAAATTGACAAGGGTTAACAGAAGAGCATGTAATTTATTTCATACAAGTGTTATGTGACGTAGCAGCCTTTATAGGGAAAGGAAGACCCCCAAAAAACAGTAAAACAGTTACCACGTTTGGGGAAGAGTGAAAAATGGAAAACCATGATAGGACAAAAGGATGTGGGCTACGAGCAGTGAGCTGGGGACACTTAGCAAGGCCTGCTCATGTGGATTCCTCTCAGGGTCCCTCTGTCTTCAGAGAGAAGGATGCTCCTTGCTCCCGGTCCAGGGAGAGGACCTCTCACACGAGGGGCTTATGACCTGCTTCAGGGAAGGTCAGAGAGTCCTTCCTGCACCTGTAGTTTCTCAAATTCCTTTAGCTTTAAATATTCAATATGCGAAAGGTGCCGTATGTTGGAGTAGTGTGTTCTGAAGCTCCTGAAGCTGCGGCACAAGGTATGTTATTCAGAGTTCAGTTCTGGGGCTCATGGAGGGCCTGGGATTGTGATTGTCTTAGTAGCAGTGTGAGGACCACCTTTGAAGCCAGGTCCCCAAGGGTCAGCACATAGAGGATTTTATGTTTCCAAACTTCTTCCAGTTAATAGTTAGCAGATGCTAGATTCAAACCTCAAGGAAACTTGCCCCTGGAACCTCTCCCTTCTCAGTCTTCTTTCAAATATCTTCCAGTAAACCAAGTGCTCAGGAAGGAGGCTTTCAATGCAAATGGATTCTGCCATGCTCAGAGTAAAGCAGAGTCTTGGAGAGCCTTACCACTGGTTCAGACCTGATACTGTCAGATGAGGACACCAAGGCCTGGAATGGAGTATGGACAAATCCAAGGTCTAAATGACTTTGTGGTGGAGCTGGGACACAGCCCCAGACCTCCTAGCCCTGTCTTGAATTTTCTAATTTATTCAGCTCCATCACATGGGAGGGGGGTGGCGAAGATACTCAAAATCCCACCAGCTTGGGCAAAGGCCTCTTCAATAGTAATAACACCTTTTAGTGAGCATTTACTCTGTGGCAGGAGTCAGATTACACTCTTTGGCTTGTTTAAACTATAATCTCGCTGAATTTTTACAATTATCCCATAAAAATAGATATTATACCCATTTTATAGAAGATGAATCAGACTCAGAGAGGTAACATAATTTGTTCAGGGATACCCAGCAAACTGGTGGCCAGATTGAACACACGGTCAATTCACTTTATCTGGTTTTTTGAGACAAGGTCTCCCTCTGTTGCCCAGGCTGGAGTGCAGTGGCACAATCATAGCTCAGTGCAGCCTCGACCTCCAGGTTCAAGCAATCCTCCCACTCCAGTCTCCCAAGTAACTGGGACTACAGGAGCACACCACCATGCTTAGCTAATTATTTTTTTAATTTTAATTTTATAGAGACGGGGTCTCACTATATTGTCCAGGCTGGTCTTAACTTCTGGGCTCAAGTGATCCTCCTGCCTTGGTCTCCCAAAGTGCTGGGATTACAGGCATGAGCCACCATGCCCACCCAGCCTGACTTCACTTATAGTTCCCCCTCTTCTCCAGTGTAATTTACAGTCCATAGTCTTTTTTTTCCAGCCCACTAAAGACTTTAGTTTCCTTGCTGGTCTTTCACCCCTCTGCTCCCTATCACAACTACAAAAGAGGGGGAAATGATGTGTCTTACAAACCAGTGTTTAGGACTTGCGGTTGCCCTTGAGATCAACATGTCCTGGATTCAAATCTTGACTCCGCTGCTTGCTAGCTCTGTCTCCTGTGTGAACCTCCGATTCTTCGTTGGCACAATAAGCAGAAAACCTGTGATTCTAAACCCTTCTATCGTGCTGGAGAAAAGGCTAGGCTCCTGGTTAGAGACCTTTCAGGCAATTCTGTTCCAATAAGTCCTCACCCATGTAGTTAGGAGTAAGGATGTTCTCAGGGTTGATAATGACTGCAGCGGGGGGAAGGGTGAAGAAGCAGGCAAGAAGGAAGGTGATATTTGAAATATTCAACCAACTAATCATCATTGGCCTTGGTTCAGTTTTCCCATCTGTACAATGCAAATGAAGCTAACAGACCTGCCTCCTGAGGGTGTGATGAGACTTGAGTGAGATAATGCCTGGGAAGTGCCAAGGCCAGTGCCTGGTACATCACACATGATCAATGAATGGTTCTATTATTATCATCATCCCAGAGCTAGTGCCTTACAAGTCCTGAGTGTCACCCTCGGACCATGCCAAGAGGCAGAAACATGAGCTATAAGCCAGCAGGAGAATCTAGACTCTAGGTTCTCAGATTTTAGCTTGCATCAGAGTCACTCGGATGCAGAGTCGCCTTCATGGGTGCATGTTCAGTGTAGTCACACAGGGCTGCATGCTCAGAGGGCTCTCTGCTTGGCTCAGTGTCGTATAGTCACTGTCTTGAAAGTCTGAATTTCTGAACAAGGGATTGATCGTGTGTTTTCATTTTGCAGTAGCCCCTGAAAATGATGTAACCAGTGTTGTCTGGAGAACTTATTACAGCGTAGATAACTGGCCCACCTCCAGATTTCTGACGTGGTAGTTCTGGAGGGTGGGCCCCTCAAATGTGCATTTCTGACAAGTTCCCAGGTTGTGCTGGTCCATGGGCCACATTTTGAGACCAATGGATTGAGACTGTTGTTGTGAACACTGCTTATACATTAGAATTACCTGGAGAACCTAAAAAAAAAAGGCAAAATGCCTGGAATCTACCCTCACCCAATCAAATGGAATTGCTGTGAGCGCATTCTTGGCTTCAGTTGGTTTAAAAGCTCACCAGGTGGTTCTAATGCACAGCAGGAACTGTGAACCACAGGGTGCGAGCAGAGAATCCTTGAACTTCCCTCAGGAAAAGAGTCCCCTGTGGGCATTACTTACCCACACAAACACCTCATCCTGTCCTAGAACCAGTGCTTTGGGGAATCTCCAGAGACGGGACAAGGAGGCTGTATGTTCAACAAGCACCTCAGATGATCCTTATCCTGCCACAAATTAGGGAAAACTGGTGCCTCCCACCATCTGGCCTACCACGAGTCCTAAACGCTCATTTTATAAGACACATCATTTTTCCCCCTGTTGTAGTTTTGAGAGGGAGAAGAGGGGCGAAAGACCAGCAAGGAAACTAAGGTCCCCAGTGGGATAGAAAAAGAGACTAAAGGACTGTAAATTACAACAGGGAAGAGGGAAAACT